CCAGTAGTTACAGTGGAAAATATTTTGTAAAAATTTACAAAAATTTACAAAATTTATGAAAATTGTAAAAAATTGACTATAAAGGGCAATAACTCCTTAAGGGGTCAATTGACAATTTTGGTCATGTTGACTTATTTGTAGATCTAACTTTGCTGTACATTATTGCTGTTTACAGTTTATCTCTATCTATAATAATATTCAAGATAATAACCAAAAGCTGCAAAATTTTCTTAAAATTACCAATTCAGGGGCAGCAACCCAACAACATGTTGCCTGATTGGTCTGAAAATTTCAGGGCAGATAGATCTTGACCTAATGAACAATTTTATACCATCAGATTTGCTCTAAATGCTTTGGTTTCAGAGATATGAGCCAAAAACTGCATTTTACCCTATGTATTATTTTTTTGCCATGTCGGCCATCTTGGTTTCATGCAGGGTCATCGGACACATTTTTTAAACTAGATACCCTAATGATGATTGTGGACAATTTTGGTTAAATTTGTCTTAGTAGTTTCAGAGGAGAAGATTTTTGTAAAAGATTACAAAAATTTACGAAAAATGGTTAAAAATTGACTATAAAGGGCAATAACTCCTTAAGGGGTCAACTGACCATTTTGGTTGAGTTGACTTATTTGTAGATCATACTTTGCTGAACATTAGGTCAGGTGAGCTAAAAATGGATAATTAACAATAGGAAATGAAAAATCATCTCTTTTATCATAAATTTTGGTATTAAGTTTCCCATTTAAGATAAAGATATCAAGATCCAGGAAAGGGCAGTGTTCATTGATAGTATTAGCTTTATTTAAAGTCAGTTCGGCAGGATAAATCTCTTTAGTGTACATACTGAAGTTGTCATTATTGAGAGCCAATATATCATCTAAATATCTAAATGAGTTATTAAATTTTTGAATCAGATGTTGTTTCGATGGGTCTTTGCTGATTTTAGTAATAAATTGTAACTCATAACAATACAAAAACAGGTCCACAATAAGTGGTGCACAGTTAGTCCCCATGGGAATTCCAATAACCTGACGATATACAGAATCTCCATAGCGAACAAAAATGTTATCTAGTAAAAATTCAAGGGCAGTTATAGTATCAAAGCAGGTCCAATTGACATAGTTCTTTTGTTTGTTGTTACTAAAAAATGACCTAAAAGAGTTTGAACATATATATTCGCATTCCAACTTTTTAAATGCCCATTTAATCAGGTGTGTGAATTTTTTCTTAATAAGATTATGAGGCAACGTGGTATATAGGGTAGAAAAATAAAAACTTTGAACAGATTCGAAATCACCAATATAAGCATGTAATTTATCAAGTACTTCCAGCGAATTATATGTATTAAAGTGCAACCATCAATTTTCTTGTATGCATTTTAGCCTTATCTATTAAGTGAAACTTACATTTAAAATGACAAAGAATTGATTGATTGATTGATTGGTGTTTAACACCACTATCAGCACTACTATGCTATTTTATGGCGGTCAGTTTTTATTGGTGGAGGAAGCTGGAGTGTCCGGAGAGAACCACTGACCTTTGGAAGGAAAACTGAAAATCCTAGTCAATTAAGATTGGAGTCATTAGCTCACATGCCACAAGTGGGATTCTAACTCACAACCTCAGTGTTGACAGGCTAGTGATATAGTAGTTTGACTACTCAGACCACTCGGCCACCTAGGCCCCCAAATGACAAAGGAAAAAAATACAAAAATGAAATTAAAGTGCTTTGTTTTGTAAATGAACTTCGTCAGATGTAGGTCTAATATTATACAAGAGTGCACACGCTGAAATGTCTCGCCTTCTTTACTTATCATTGATATTATGTTGATAGTCCTAAATATAAAGCTTTATTACAACTGTCACATAAACTTAACATTAACCAAGAAAACTAAACATTGACCAATGAACCATGAATATGAGGTCAAGGTCAGATGAACCATGCCAGGCAGACATGTACAGTTAACAATTCTTCCATATAACAAATATAGTTGACCTATTGCTTATAGTTTAAGAAAAACAGACCAAAACACAAAAACTTAACACTGAGCAATGAACCGTGAAAATGAGGTCAAGGTCATATAAAACCTGCGCGACTGACATATAGATCTTAAAATATTTCCATACACCAAATATAGTTGACCTATTGCATATAGTATTAGAAAAAAAGACCAAAACTCAAAAACTTAACTTTGACCACTGAACCATGAAAACGAGGTCAAGGTCAGTTGACACCTGCCAGCTAGACATGTACACCTTACAATCATTCCATACACCAAATATAGTAGACCTATTGCATACAGTATAAGAAAAACAGACCAAAACACAAAAACTTAACTATAACCACTGAACCATGAAAATGAGGTCAAGGTCAGATGACACCTGCCAGTTCGACATGTACACCTTACAGTCCTTCCATACACCGAAGATACTAGACCTATTGCTTATAGTATCTGAGATATGGACTTGACCACCAAAACTTAACCTTGTTCACTGATCCATGAAATGAGGTCTAGGTCAAGTGAAAACTGTCTGACGGGCATGAGGACCTTGCAAAGTACGCATATACCAAATTTAGTTATCCTACTACTTATAATAAGAGAGAATTTAACGTTACAAAAAATGTTAACTTTTTTTCAAGTAGTCACTGAACCATGAAAATGAGGTCAAGGACATTGGACATGTGACTGACGGAAACTTCGTAACATGAGGCATCCATATACAAAGTATGAAGCATGCAGGTCTTCTACCTTCTAAAATATAAAGCTTTTAAGAAGTAAGCTAACACCGCCGCCGCCGCCAGATCACTATCCCTATGTCGAGCTTTCTGAGACAAAAGTCGCAGGCTCGACAATAAAACTCAGGTAAGAGCATTCTAAGAAAATAGCTGTGGTAAAAATTTGAAAAGAATTGACCACTTGCCAGAAAATAAGTTTACTGTTGTAACTTTTTTTTAATTCTACCATGAGGTTAGAAAGATAGTAGAGAAACTGAAGTACAATGTAAGCCAATGGCCAAAACCTCTAAGAAATGTTTTTTACAAATTACATGTACTAAAATAATGTAAAATATGTTCCCTATTGTAATTTCTAAACATGAGAAAATGAGTTGCTATGATGATTATGGGTAAATATAGAAGAATTGTGTTCTTGCAGCTAGTGATGTTTGCAAAATTTGCTTTGAACTAAGGAATGTCTAAACAATTGGGTCTAAATTTGGTATACCCATTATGTCAAGACATTCCAGTGATGTTCAAAATTTTTTTTTAATACAAACGTACATGCATTTCACATTCAAAATATTTCAATCTCTTGTATAATTTCTAAGATTCAAACTTAATAAAAGAAATTTAAACTTGACAACTGGACCACTAGAGTGCAGAAATGAGGTCGAGGCTACATGTTGTGTACATGTTGGATAGACAAACAAAAATTTTACTTGCCGTATAAAACTGACCTATAAATTATTTTTTGTCAGTCAGATCTAACTGTTGAGACCTTTGTTCAATTCAAACCAGACAATGTACAGTTACAGATTATGTTGTTTTAAAATTGGCAGCATGAAGGATTTTTTTCTCCGTTGAGTAATTCTGAGAGTATGCACTTTTTGGATGTAACCCCTCCTACATGCTTTAAAAAAAGGAGTTTAACTGGTTTAACATTTTTTTTCTGATTGATGAATTAAATATAATAGCACTCTTATATATTATTGTAAACCTATATTCAATAAAACCAACATTTGGGGATATAGTTTGAACTACTCTGCAGACAGTTCTAGCTGTAACACATTAAAAAAAATAAATTCTTAGTTCAAGATTTTATAGAATATCAACAGGGCTCGACAATAACGCTTGTCCGATTGTCCGGTACCAGAGGGAAAAAGGGTCGGACAAGTAAAAACTATATCAAGCTTGTCCGACGGGACAAGTAAAATTATTCTGCAGAAAATAAATTTAATCCAACTTTGATGAACAAAGTAATTATAAACAAAAACAAGAAAAGATGATGAAAACAAGACATATTTACTTGCAATCGATAATTTAAAACTAGTTCTTTGTCAGGTACTTTTTAACAGGTAAAATGCATACTATTCTCGGAAACCAGTCTTACTGATCTGAATCAGCGATGTGCTTTGTAGATAAGGTAACTTTACAAGACAGTTCGTCACAAGCTCAGAAACGATTCGGCTCCAAGTTTAACATGTTTAATAGACAGTTTGGCACCATAGGAGACATATTTAATAGACATGATTAATAGACAGTTTGGCAACGCAGGAGACATTTCGGGACCAAGACAAATCAGTACCTCGTTTTCCTACCTTATTCTGTTGCTTTATAATAAATAACATACCGGTAATTTTTTTAACAAAAATATTTTTTAGATAAAAATGAAAAATTATTTACCATTAAATTCACAAAATCATATTTAAACATATGTAGAAAAAACAGTACTTGCAATACGGTGACCTATAGTTGTTAATTTCTGTGTCATTTGGTCTCTTGCTGAGAGTTGTCTCATTGGCAATCATACCTCAATTTTTTTTTATTGATTGCATTTGAATAAACTTTTTTCAACTTTAAAAAACCAGGATACAAATCCAATGAGTGTACATTGACAGCCCTATCAGACGGTGCCTCATGTGCAGAATCTGATGAGACTTTGGCATTGATGAACTACATGTAGAACCTAAGTTCTGTGACATGATTAGATTCAGTTGTATTCGACTCATATTTTTGAATAGTATTTCAAAAGATATAAATCAAATTCTGTTCTATTGTTTTAATTCATTTTGTTCCTTGAATCAACTTAAAATGCAAAAAAGGTTATTATTAAGATTTTTTTGGACAAGTTACAATTTCATTCGGACAAGTAAGTTTTGGTATGTACTTGTCCTACTGGACAAGTTGAAAAAAAAGTTATTGTAGAGGCCTGATCAACTTCAACAATTACACAGTGTGAAGATGTATCTAATAAAGAACTAATGACAATATAATACCTGAACCCTCTTTTTCTTTCTGAAGATCAGTTCCAATAACTGGTATAGGATCGTCTGTGGTCTTGGGTTCTGGTACTCGCTGCCAACTGCAGAAATTCAAATACAGTTTCCATTGCTTAGGTGCCTGTAATTTTATCAGAACACATGTCAGAATATCATACCATTATATCATTTTGATAGAAATATATTAAATATGTAAAAAGAATATGTATTTTGATCAAAACATGGCCTAGAAAAACTGCCTAGGGGTTCAAAATAAGTTTCAGAGCCGGAGGTGAAAGGTCCTTCACTTTTTTTATTTTCAAATCAAAGATCCACCTTTGGAAATGAAAGGTTAGGTACATGTAATAACAAGGACTCTTAGGAATGAAAGGTCCTGAGGCCTAATCATTTCGCAAATTAAAGGTTCATCTTTTTAATTAAAAGGTCATGGACCTGGGACCTCCATTGATTTGAAACCCCAGACTTTGTTTCACATAACACAATCCTATTGTTAAATCTAAACAATTTAGTACAATGATAAGTTGAAGAATGATTCTGACACAAGTGTATTTTATATTATATTTTCACAAAGAATTATCACATATCCTTTCTTTCACAAAACAGAAAATAGAAAAATGATAGGTTACAATTGATATAGAGAATCAATAGCTTGCTGGAAATGAAAAAAGACTGAGAGTATGAAAATTTATGGAAAAAGAAGGAAATTTCTGAAAAAAACAGACCTAAACAACTCATGTCAACAAATAACCTTTATTCTCCAAAACATTTTTTGTTGGGTCTGTCTCAATGAAATTTAATCACAAAATACATTTTTTCATATATGAGAGTATTTAGTTATACATGTATTGCACATGTACCTGTAAACTACTTTGCACACACATATTTGGTTCTGGTGGTTTCATATACTCCTTGGCCTCTTTCATCTGTTTATCAATAAATTCTTTGTACTTTTCGGGACTACTTTCCGCCATCTCATCCAACATTGTCCATACATTCTGTGCTTGACTTAGCAATGTTTCCTTACTGAATTCACCAATGTTTGCCATACCTTGTAAAATAAAAGGAAAAATGTAAACCTTAAAACATAATCAATATACAATAACAAATTTCAACTTGTCCTCAAATTGGACCAGGTGTCAGAAGATAATAAATTCAAAATCTATCTTCACAGTGAAATGGAATTAAATGTTGGTTATGTAATATATCTTATGAATGAGCTTGGTTGTAAAACTTCCAAAAATATATTGCAAAAAATTGTGGGTGACGAAAAACTTATGGCCATCCATAACCACTGTATTTAAATATTTATTATTTTTCAATTGTATATTTCTTTTGTATATAAATTATATATATCATGTATATGGCAACAAGAAAGAACTATGTGAAAATTTTTCAGAATGGAAACCATATTTGTACATGTATATCGATCAACAAATAAGATCCAAAAAAAGAAAAGGGGAAAAAAACAGAAAAAAACATGTTTTTTTTATTTTTCCATAAATTTGAAGTTGGGAGTTCGGTTTGATTACGGGGTACAAGTCAATTGGGCACCTATAGTCAAATCAGCACCTGGTCAATTTGGCACCAATAGAAAAATTCTAATCTGTACCAATTTTAAGTAATTTTGGTGTCAATAATCACAATAATAAACTATAATACATGTACCTATAATAATATTTTTACATTTATCCTGTTTTATTTTTTTATATTTTTTTGAGGGAGGGGTGTTGTTTGTTCAATCTGTACATTCAGTTAATTTTAAATTTAATCAACAAACAAGCCAAATGCTTACCTGGTAAAACAAACATAATAATCATTTCAGACCTTACATAAACATTAAATGGTTTGAATGGTTTTACACTAGTAAATTTTGGGGCCCTTTATAGCTTGCTGTTCAGTGTGAGCCAATGCTCCGTGTTGAAGGCCGTATCTTGACCTATAATGGTTTACTTTTATAAATTGTTACTTGGATGGAGAGTTGTCTCATTGGCACTCATACCACATCTTCCTATATCTATTAAGTCATGTAATTTTAACTGTGGCACTAAAACATTTAAAACAAGTTTACATTTGTATCATGTTTATTAGACTTGACTTTTCATTTTTTTATTTCTTTATCTCATGACAGTATTTTACTTTACATCCATACATGCCATAATAAAATGCTTCGCTGGGGCGCAGCTTGATACGACCGCAGAGGTCGAACCCTGAACAGTTGGGGCAAGTATGGACACAACATTCAAGCTTGATACAGCTCTCAATTTGGATTGTTATTAAATATTTGACACAGCATAGGTTTCTGACACAGAAAGAATGTGGTCTAAGAACTTGAATTTTTTTAATTTACCTATTATGGTCCAATGTCCAAAATCAAAATACATGGTTAGATTCAGCATATCAAAGAACCCCATATATTCAATTTTTGTTAAAATCAAACAAAGTTTAATTTTGGACCCCAACTTGGACAAACTTGAAAACTGGGCCCATAATCAAAAATCTAAACACATGTTTAGATTCAGCATATCAAAGAACCCCAAGAATTCAATTTTTGCTAAAATCAAACTAAGTTTAATTTTGGACCCTTTGGACCTTAATGTAGACCAATTTAAAAAACGGGACTTAAAATTAAAAATCTAAATACACGGTTAGATTTGGAATATCAAAAAACCCCAATAATTCAATTTTTGATGAAATCAAACAAAGTTTAATTTTGGACCCTTTTGACCTCAATATGAACCAATTTGATAGCGGGGCCCACAAATAAAAAATCTAAGTTCATGGTTAGATTCAGCATATCAAAGAACCCCATATATTCAATTTTTGTTGAAATCAAAAAAAAATATAATTTTGGACCCCAACTTGGACCAACTTGAAAACTGGGCCCATAATCAAAAATCTAAACACATGTTTAGATTCAGCATATCAAAGAACCCCAAGAATTCAATTTTTGTTGAAATCAAACTAAGTTTAATTTTGGACCCTTTGGACCTCAATGAAGACCAATTTAAAAAACGGGACCCAAATTAAAAATCTAAAAACACGGTTAGATTTGGCATATCAAAGAACCCCAATAATTCAATTTTCGATGAAATCAAACAAAGTTTAATTTTGGACCCTTTTGACCTCAATATGAACCAATTTGATAGTGGGGCCTAAAAATAAAAAATCTAAATACATGGTTAGATTCAGCATATCAAAGAACCTCATATATTCAATTTTTGTTGAAATCAAACAAAGTTTAATTTTGGACCCCAATTTGGACCAACTTGAAAACTGGGCCCATAATCAAAAATCTAATTACATGTTTAGATTCAGCATATCAAAGAACCCCATATATTCAATTTTTGTTGAAATCAAACAAAGTTTAAATACTGGAACCTATCTTGGACCAACTTGAAAACTGGGCCCATAATCAAAAATCTAAACACATGTTTAGATTCAGCAAATCAAAGAACCCCAAGAATTCAATTTTTGTTAAAATCAAACTAAGTTTAATTTGGACCCTTTGGACCTCAATGTAGACCAATTTAAAAAACAGGACCCAAAATTAAAAACCTAAATACACGGTTAGATTTGGAATATCAAAGAACCCCAATAATTCAATTTTAGATGAAATCAAACAAAGTTTAATTTTGGACCCTTTTGACCTCAATATGAACCAATTAGATAACGGGGTCCACAAATAAAAAATCTAAATACATGGTTAGATTCAGCATATCAAAGAACCCCATATATTCAATTTTTGTTGAAATCAAACAAAGTTTAATTTTGGACCCCAATTTGGACCAACTTGAAAACTGGGCCAAAAATCAAAAATCTAAATACATGTTTAGATTCAGCATATCAAAGAACCTCATATATTCAATTTTTGCTAAAATCAAACAAAGTTTAATTTTGGACCCTTTGGACATTAATGTAGACCAATTTGAAAACTGGACCCAAAATTAAAAATCTAAATACACTGTTAGATTCGGCATAACAAATAAATAAATGTGATCAAAGATTTTACAAATCTAATGCGCCATACTGTGCAATTAAAGATTACTTCTTGAAATTTTTCAATATTTGAAATTTGAAAAAAAAATAATATTTGAAGAATAATTCTTTTTAATTTCTGAAATCTGAAATGAGAAAAAATTGGCCCCCCACAATTTCTTTTTATCCCCCCCCCTTTTTCCCCCAAAAAAATTCTTTCCCTCAAGATATGGTCATAATCTCAATTCAAATTTCCAATGGAGTTGGCAACCATAATTACCCATTTAAATTTACCATAGTGCTAACTTAATCTATTTTATAATAGAATTAATAAAAATATAGTGTCAAATCTTTCATATGGATTTTTTTGTAAAAAAAAAAGATGAAAACATTTGCAGATATTTTTACTGGTCTTCCTTTATAAATATGCATTTCTTTAAACATAATTTAAAAGCAGTGTAAGGGAAGTAACCAAAACGTTGTATTTGGATTACCTCCCTTACACTGTTTTAGATTATCTTTATTGTTCATTAACCATTACTTTATACATAATTTAAAAGCAGTGTAAGGGAGATAATTTCAATGATGTATTTGATTTATCTCCCTTACACTGCTTTAAATTATGTTTTGTACTAAAGTATTTGTCCATTAACCAGGACAACCTTGTTTTTCCCCCTTTTTTGCCCCTAATTCCTAAACGGTTTGAGCCATAACCCCCCAAAGCAAATCCTAACCATCCCTTTGTGGTATGGAAACTTGTAGTATAATTTCAGAGAGATCCATACACCGTTCCACAGTTATTGTCTGGAAACTAGAAAATGCTCATTTTTGGCCCCTTTTTGGCCCCTAATTCCTTAACTGTTGGTACCATAACCCCCAAAATCAATCCCAACCTTCCTTTTGTGGTATTTAACCTTATGGTCAAATTTAAAAAAGATCCATTCACTTAAACTAAAGTTAGAGTGCGAAAACCAATATGTATTCGGACGACGACGACCCAACGTCATACCAATATACGACCACAAAATTTTTTTGCGGTCGTATAAAAATCTACCAAAAAATTATAAAACCATACCTACTGTCCCAAAAAAAACTCCAATTACATACAGAAAAATAACACTCTATTCTCTATATTTTTAAGCACCCCTATTTTCCAATTCTTTTTAATCGTTACCCCATTATTCTCTGTGGAAAATGTGGAAAAAAGGAATATATTACTTGCAAAATATCATGTTAAAGCATTAGTACCGAAACAACTACATTGGGTTCACTTCTGTATTAACCAGGTGGTGATTTGACCAAGATAACAAGTTGACTATACTGGGTGCATTTTTAACCAGGTGCTGAATTAGTGACTATAATTTGGATTATAGTAAATGTACTTAAAACCATCGTTGGCTCAATGTTGACCGACCCCTCTATGAGGATCGTTATGGGGGTACCTTTATGACGAATAACGGTAAAAAGTCTTGCCAAATGACATTAAACAGTAATTTTTGTTCATGACGATAAAATGTACATTTTCTTTATGAAGATAAAAAATCGACAGATTGTGACGAATCCTGTTAAATTCTTTCCAAAAATAACGATAACGGATAATTATTTGAGACCTCTGACAAATCACGATAAGGATATTTTTGACGAATCACGATAAAATTTGAACCAATTTGACGCTAACAGTAGCAGAAACTGACCATTTGATGCCTGACAGTAAAGGGCATTCCTACCCTCCTCTATGAAGTTAGAACCTTGGAAAAAGTCAACAAAAACCAGATTCGGTGGTTCAAGGATCATAAGGATGGGGCAATATGTACATGCTGTCTGGGAACGTTGTCTCGTTGGCATACGATAGCTTTTATTTTCATAATGTATCTGACAACCAAGGACGTATATTGGGCTATTCCAGAAATAGTCTGTCCCCCCCCTATGGAAGACATTGGAATTCCAGATTTTTTTTTCTTGATTTTTTCTAAAATTCCAAACAAATTTTCTGTCTGGACCAAAAATTTCCAAACTTTTTGTCTGATAGTGCACATGAAATTCCCTGTATTTTCCAAAGGGACGAATAATTTC